ACATGGAGTATCCTGTAAGGTTGTAAGGCCACTTATAGGCGCCTAAGATATTATAAAATTATTATATAGTCTTATAATACTTTGTCAAGGATTGGTTTCATAGTTACGATTATATATTTTATATTTATGTAGTCGCCTATGTATTTACAGTTTTGATAAGTCCCCAGTCAATCAAAAATTTAAATTACAAAAGAGGAGTACCTAGGTTATTATTAATTAATTTAATTGTAGACTTATTGTATACGTAATATTATTGTAATGGACTAATTCAAGTCCTTTTATTCGTAACACTTAGGACTGCACACCTATTTTACTGCTTTAWACAAATATTTCATGCACTACTATCTCAGAAAAAGCAATGTTGAATGTATTACATATATAATATATATATATCAATTATATCATAATTGAACAATGCAATCAAATCATACAACAAAATTCAGKAAATACTCATATTTTCTAGTAGCTGGCATATTATGTAATTTTTATTTTGTAGACCCTAGTGCAGACACATTAAAATCATAGTGCACACTAAAAGTGTACATTCGTGGTCCACATTGTGTATCACGGTACACATAGAAAATAGGGCCTGAGACTTATGAAACTATGTTTTGAGGAACCTACCTATCTATCTAGCTTATTCATCTCAATTCTCAAACATATTAAATGAGCTGAACAGCTAACAGATCACTGTCTAATAGAAATCTAATAGTATTTAAAAAATAAATGATACAATATAGGTAAAAGTGGTATGCTCAAGAGAGCAGATTAGAGGACATATACATAATTAATTGAAATGTATTATTAGTATTATAAGCTCCCATTGAAAATTCCTGGTTACATCAATGATAGGTTGATTAGTCATCCATGGATGATAGACCTTATGGTATATATACTATAAGAAGTATATACCATCCATATAATGTAAATGMTTTCATCCATCAAATTGTATATACCTATCATTTAATATTGGTAGTGGCCATTTATAGACATAATATATSTCTATTTACTACTTAGCCACTTTACCTATTACAGCATATATGAGCGCCTGTCTATTAATTTTCATAAATTATCTTCGTGTCGTATGTTTCTAACAACCAAATTTAAGTTACCATTCAACAGTTGGGCACATTAATAAATTCTTAAACTTGAGTTTTATAAAATCTAAAATAATTATCATCATCTGCTAATATTGTAACATGTTTCAATTAATAATTGTACATGTTAATGAATTATCCTATTTTGGTTTTTGCGTTATTGTATATTAATTAAAGATTTGTTTTAATCTCAGTATTAGATATTTAGATCTAGTTTAATCTATAACTTTTTAAAGTAGTTATKAATTCTCCTAATTTATTACTTTGTTAAATATCACGTTTCATTGTTGTTGCTTAAATTATATATTAGTTTGTAACAARAATGTATCGTATTCATTATCGAAAACTTAAAGCATAATAATCAAGATAAAATTTCATCCAAGTTCAAATTGTTTATTTTTTATTTTAATATACTAGTATTTATTTTACAATAATCAAAGGTAATAAATTAACACTAATAAGCTTAAAACACAATTAAGTGTTTACACATAGAAACAAAGAATTATAAATAAATATAAAATTGACTAGATTATATGATTATACATTTGTAGGTAAATAAAATTCAGTTATTAATTAATAAGAAAAATTAACTTAGTGTCATACATACATAATGCATTATGATTGCAATAGTTATCTAGATGGTTAATAATTTTTATGGAGTTTATAACTTATTGAATAATATTAAATGGTTGAAATAGATTATATATATATATATATATATGTTTGGTTTTAAATTCGGTTTAAAATTAATAAAATTAATATTATTTTTTACTTTTAATGGAGATAGCAATGAGATATAAAATATAATTATTGTTCCTATTACATGYCTATCTTCTATCTATTGGATGATTTGGATAACTTAAATTAGCCATTATTATTTTAATTAAATTTCTGTCTCAGTCTTTTATTTTTTTTTAACTATAAATATATTCAGTGTGTTTAATTTGATGTATTTTAAAAGCTTTAAGTAATGAACAATAAGCCTCATATTATAGATAATTACTCAGAAAGTTCACAAATTTATAATTGTAGTATAAAATAAACATTTAAAATTAATTATTACATTAATCACACTAATAATGAATTTATATTTTAAAGCAACATTTAAGGTTAAAATGTACATTGATAAATAAACTGCTGTATTGAAATGTGTTTAATCTCACAGTAATTAATGAAAATTACAATTAACACGAACAACACACAATTTATAGCCCYTTCGTCTAAAATAAAATTCAACATTCATACAAAGTTTTGCTAACTAGAAAACATTAATCTAAACAGCAGCTAATTTATCAATAATTTAAGTTACGTGTAGTTGGCTATAATAATATATTACAGAATTAATAAAACAGTCAAATAGCCAATATAATTAATATTTATGTGGTAGGATTTGTATATTGGAACTCTATGTAATCTAAGGTGTTTTTATAAATTAAAATTTGAATAATTTTGTAAGTGTATATATATAAACATGAATAATATGTATAGAAATTGTTATTTTATGTTTCATTTATYGTTTTTAAATATTTATTCAGCATCTGTTAATAAATCAATATGCCTGAATATTTAAATGAGTAGCTTTTCTTATTTCTTATTCTTTCTTTTCGTGATGTACATCTAAAATAAGAAAAATATGTTGATTAAACTTGTAACAGTACATAATAAAGGTAAAAGTATAACTAAAACAGTAAATATGAAACAAAAACATATGCTTTTTTAAGATAGTTAAATACATATTTGGTTTCAATTTGAATTAAGTTAAGTAGCTTAAAATAATGTAAACATACCATCTTCATCATCATCACTGGCATCCATAATGTCTGTGCAACATGTAGAATAGCATATTAATAATAGGAAGCCWATAGGTAATCCAAATAAAACACTAGCAACTGCAGGATTGCTAACCCAAATATTTACTAATGATTTTTTTGTCTCATAATACATCCTGTACATCTGTATAAATACACCACTTCCTCCATATGCCTATTCAAAAATATGATTTATTAATTATTTGAATATTAAGCTTACTGTATCGATATTTACTATTTAGATTCCAAAGAATCAATAATTACCATACTTAAGTAAATATAGATAATATTRTGTATATCATAATTAAAATGCATGAAATCGGTTGATATTACCTTTACTGATTGATTTCTTACAGCTTCTAAAAATAAAGTAATTGATTCAGGTGTCAGATCATTTGGTTTTTCTTCTGGAAAATGATGATGTCTAGTAGATGAATTGTAAATGATTAATGATGGTAGGGTTACATCTGATGAAGTAATAGAACTGGCAAAATCTGGAGAACCAATCCATCCAAATTGAAAGTCCCTAATAGGTAAAATGATTTATTTAACTGATTTTATCTTAAATGCGCGCACACACACACACACACACACACATATATATATTACCTATGAAAACGTTCTCTATTCTTTACAATAACTGATTCTACCATTTGAAGAAACCTAAGATAAATAAATCCAAGATAAATAATTGATAATTTTTTCAATTTTAAGAATAATGCTGAAACTCAAAAACAACAGTAAAATAAACATTTTAATTATAAAATAAAATCTTGGAATTTTCTCTTCCCAGTAGAAACCAATTCAGACATAGGTATTTAGATATTATGTTGCATAAAATAATTGGAACCAATATGAGGAATCAATAATTTTATGATACGKAAACTAGTYTAAATAATATAGCCCATTAACAGTATTTTCAACATTATTCATACTTACTGTGAATGGTGTGGAGGCAACTTTTCAATTTTATTCTCTTCCACTACTGCTAAAACTAAGTACTTGTTGGTCTCCAACATATGGTGAATATTTGATCGAGTTACTTTTACAAAAGTATCAAATCTTTCTGTATTTATCCATTGTGTCAAGCTTGTATTGAAGTCCATATCCCATTCATCAGCTAATATTAATAATAACATGATAAAAAACTTTTCAATTTTTAATAATAATTCATTTACCATTGAAAGAGTAATGTTGTTCTTCCTTATACACCACAACTGCAGGAGTTTCGCCAAAAACAAAATGCTATAAATAAGTAAATATATAATATACATACAAGATAGGACAAAATTAAACGTACACAATATTTTTTCATTTATCATTCACTTATGATGTCTAAACAATTATGAAATCAACTTCAAATATTTATATTATTAGTCAGTTGATAAATACCTGTTTTCCAGTTAGTTCAGGTGTGATATAAAAATAAGAATGTGCTTGATATTGTTTTGCTAAATCGTAAAAGAGGTCCTAGAAATATATTATATAATTTGTGAAATATTTAAATTTTARTTGAATTATAAAATTATCAAGTACCCAAGTATGGCCAACACTTTTTCCAATAAACATAAAGAAGTTTTTGTTTGTTTGTTTAAGCATTTCAATGTCTTTACTATCAGTGACTTCTTGAACAGGAGGACGAGCCAATCGCTTTGCGAAATGAACCATTTCTTCTGTAGATCGTTCGCTATTAAATTTAAATTCACCTTCTCGATCTCTAAAGCTATAAGGCAATACAAAATATAATTATTAATACCACAAATACTGAACTACATGATGAAAATTACAAATAAATTAATAACATACAACATAATTGTAGGATACCCTGACAATCCAAATTCCGAAACTACTCTTTTATATCTTGTACAATCTATTTTTCCAACCCTTATATCAGAGTGGTGTAATGCTTGAGCAACATGACGCCAAATAGGTTCTAACTTCTTACAATGGCCACACCACGGAGCATAAAACTTAAAACAAACATTTTATAACAAATTTAATAGTCATAAGTTTTCACTTGTATCTGTAAGTATTACTAGTTAAATAAACAAACAAAATTAATTGTAATTTTATAATTCTTTTGTAATTTATTCATGATTACCATTATAAACCAATGYCCATCGTTTTTCATKTCAATGAACCTAAAAAAAATATGTATTTTTTAATAATAATCAGTATACAAAAGAGTAYGTAATAATAATTACTAATTTATTACCCATCACTAAGTTCTAATACTCTTGATGAATGCACATCTTTGAGTAGAATAATAGATACTAAAACATTGTAATTATTATTAATATAATTAAGTAATTTAAACTGTAAAAGTATAAAACAATATATTTTATTCATTACAATACTGCCGTCGTAAGAAAAAACGCCTTAAGTAACAAAAAATATAAAAATGTGAAAAAAACTAATAAAAAATTGTAAAATTCAGCTTGTGTAAATAACTAAGCAGTATTCCAAAGTAATAAATTAAAGCAATATTAAATATTACTTCAAAAATATAATCAAATTATTAAAAYGCCATAAATTGTATTATCTAATCTATACAAAAACACGTTTTATTCAAAATTGTTAAACGGTGACTTACRGCGATTTTGTTTACGATGGCAGAATACTAACACATAATCAGATCCTACAAGTTTTTTTGTTAAATGCCATAATTAGTTTTACTAGGTAATGTTAAACATTTAAAAGATAAGAAATTTCAGTTATCTTTTGAAAACACAAAGTAAATGAAGTTATTGAAAAACTTATAAACAGTTTATACTTTATAATTTTTAACTGTTGTGWATAAAAGTGTCAAATAATTAGATTCATAAAGGTTAAATGTTTCTTTCATAAATAAGGTTSGGTTTTTAAAGGAGGATATATTAATTTATTAACTAAAAAAATATAAAGTTTTAATATTGGGCATATTTATAAATATTTGACATCCATATGATTTAATTAAGTCAGTTTATATTAAGGTCTATTCAATTTAAAAGGTACTGTTGATTTCTAGCTATTTTATCTCATCTTTCTTTGATTTTTTTGATTTTATTTAATAAAACCTGCTTCAATAAATTAGATCACTATAAGTTTTCTGTTCTCTGTATACATAATATGTGAAATGTGAATCGTGAATACTGAATAAATATTACTCACTATCAATTAAGCATACCTTAGAAAAATAARCATATTATATATCTTTGCTATTATGGTTTTRAGTAAAAATTAAAAGATAAATAATTATTGTTATTTGAATGTTTTCCTTTGATAATATAAATATATGTCTTGATTAACTTCAAACTTGCATCTTATTACACTTTTCTTATATCTATAAAATATAGATATCAGTATGTAACACTTACCAATGAATCCCAGGGAAATTATTGTAGTTAATTTATTAGAGATCATCATTTTTTTACAATATTTTTCTTMTAAAAAATTGTTTATCAATGTATTGTATATTATACTATACTACGATACTATTAAACATTATACAGATTATATACATTTCACAAATTATATTGATTTTTATGAAATGTATGCATTAGTAAAATAATTTAAAACTAGTGAACTATAAGTAAAATTGTTACATAAGTACATAACAGAACACTACAAGGTATTGACATAATAATTAACTAAGAAGTGGAATAGTAGTATAGTACAACTTTACATATTATTACTATTGCATTAGGAGTTTACTGTTTATGTTTAATATTTATCAGTTATCACTTATCAAATTATCACGGTAAATTCATACCACGGTAAAATATTATGTCTAGGACATGAATACTGAAATAATATTCAGCAGTCAGCTGATCAGCTGAATCTCGGACTTCCAAGAAAAACGGAAACAGCCAACCTGCCGACCCTAATTGGTTATCTAATATCTATAGAATTATAATTTAAATTTATACTTTATAGATTCTCACATTGTGGAGGTGGACTGCCGAGACTGTGGTTCGTGGTCGTGGTTCAGTGGTTGCCGCCATGACAAAATATTTATATATTCATGGTTGCCGCCTGCCGGTCGGGCCAAATCAGGCGGATCAGTAGTTTAGCTAATTAGCTTAAGCAGTAAGCACCAGTCCAGTCCAGTTGGGCAGTGTTTTTGAAACTCTGTCACTCTGATAAACAAATGTATACAAAAAAAAAAAATAGAAGTCTATAACCCATAGGTCTATATAGTCCATGGACTATGGTATTATGGTAATAATATTACCTACCATATCGTAGAGCCTTGATATAATGTAAAGTTATGTTTTTTACAATATCTAGGTTCTCTACCTCAATACTTTTTTATGACAACCACATAATAATAGATAACGGTAAATAATTGKTAATAGTACATGGGCTTGATTCTCGGAAAAATACAATTTTTATAATTTTCGAACTATCGTACTCATATCACATAATATTYACATCCATCATCCATGGCTAAATATTTAGAGTAAGAAAAATAAGTATGTATTTTATGGTTCACATATTCTGTTGGATTACTTGGATTACTCTATGACTATGGGGGTAAAATAAAAACCTGATCAGCTGATCGTGTGCCATTTCCGTATTCGATGCTAGAAAATATGATCCATTATTAAATAACTAGTTAGCACGAGGTCAATGGTTATATTGTTTGAACATGATTAAACTGTGATAACTGATAAGGATACCGGGTTTTTAGTCTTTAAAAAATATGTAATATAGAAATAACAGATTTGAGATTACAGAGCAACACAAGCTAACACTATAGTACACTACTAAAGTACTAACAGTATTGTCAGTATTTCACTTTTCCACAAGCGTCAAGTACTCGTTCAATCTATGAATTAGATATTTCAATGTTTGGAGTTTAATGTTTACAAATTACAATTAATCACTCATTATTTATTCATTGTTTATTATTTTTTTTTTTCACAAAATTGGGTTGTTCTGTTTACACTTTTACAATATTTTTTACAAAAATGATTAGAATTATTAAAGTAACTAACTGCATCTGGGGAAATGTAAATCACGCTCAAAGGTTTTCAGCAAGTGTCTTACGTTTTTCTACTTCTGCTGTTAAAGGTTCTTATGATTTTATTCTTCTCAGTATATTATTTTTGTTTTAAAAATGTATATTTACTTAAAACTTTTATTTTTAGATCGTTATTATACTGAAAAACATGAATGGATTGATGTGAAAGATAATATTGGTACTATAGGAATTTCAGATTATGCTCAAGTAACTATTTAAATTATTAAATATTTTGTAAATATTTAAGACATTTATTATATACCTTTGAGTATATTGCAAGTAGTTGGTTAATATTTTATTAAACCTATTAAAAGTGAAAAAATATTATTTGGCTGAAAATATTTTTAAAACTGATTTTTATCCCAAGCTTAGAAATTATTTACCTTGTGATTTTTTTTTTTCTTAARAGTTATAGAAAAAATACTTTTTTTGTATAATTCATATTGGTTCTGTTCAGTTGTCAAAATACTTAAAAAAAAAGTTAATTTTAGTTTAATATTTTGCACTGTATAGTAATCCATTGTAACAAAAATGTATATTATGTATTGAAGTGTTAAAAGTTCAAATCCTAACCATAAGAGGTTATCAATAACTAGATTAATTTCATCAATTAAAGTATATTTTTCATTTGAATTTATCTATAAAAATTGATATGTCTATTAATATTATAATTAAATTAATTAGTAGATATACGTCATAATAAAATACAGATCAGATTGATTAGTAATGAATATTACAAAAATTTATGTAATTCCTATATATGTACATAATACCTAATTACTAGTTTTGGGTAAGTCACTTTTAAAAAGTGTTTAAGTTACTTTACTAGTTTCTAAACTAAAAAGTAACTGAATTACTTATTTATTACAAAAATACAAAAACCATCGTGTTTTATAACTTAACTCAAGAATTATTTTACACTGTCCAATAAGATCCTAACACATCATTTCTGCTCATTGCTACACAACACCTAGCCATAATAGAATTGGTCTTAATTGGTTAGGTATAGTACATGAATACGTAAAAGAACCAGTCTTTGTTAGGCATTAGGGCTTCTCTCCCTGAATAGAGGGTAGTTACAATAAAGTTTTAGTATTTTTTGTATCTCTCAAACTAAATAACTTAAAATGGCAAAATTTAGAAAAAGTAATTTGTGCAAATTTACATTTAACTTTATTCTATTTTAAAATGAATCTATAAAAGGTTAGGTTACTTGTCTTATTCTTGATTGTTTTTTTGGTGCAAATATCTCCAATTATGTATGTTAAAAAGGTATCCTATGAATTACAAATTTAAATGTAAATTTATTAACACTTTAAATCTTATAAATATAATTCATAATATTAAATTGGTTATCTATATAATATACTGATTTTATTTGTATTTGAACATTGTTTTATTTCAAGTCAAGAATATTGTACTATTATATTTTTATTGGATAAACTTATATCAAGAAAAATACTAATTTAATATAATGATATCATGTCATACTACTAATCATGGTTGTTATTTGCTATATAGTATTATAAAACTATGAATAGATTATGTTGCATATTTATAATTTATAATAATTACAAATTATTTTCTATTGAAATATTTAACCCTTATCATTCACATATCACGTTATTATGTTATTTATGTTTAGTTTTTATTTTATTTTAAGTGTTAAGACTCAATAGCTTATAATATTATTACATAAGGGGGTCATTATAAACAGTGAACATAATATTTAGACACATTTATTTTACATAGTATTTTTAGTAGGTAGTTTACTAATCATTTTTATATTATTTTAGGATGCTTTAGGTGATGTAGTTTATGCTGAGCTGCCTTCTGTCGGAACAGAAGTAAAAATAAAAGGTATATAATATAGAACAGGGATGGCCAAATCGTGGCTCGCGAGCTGCATTGGCTCTTGTCATAGTCGTATGCAACTCACATCTTATTAAAATAAAATCAATATTTACTTATTAACGATGAAATTATAAAAATTATAAAATGTATTTATAATAATGTTGGCTTTTGATATCATTGTATTAATCCATGTGGCTCGTGAACGTATTCATGTTGGCCACACCTGATATAGAACATTTTTTTTAGTCGTAAGTAAGATTGATGTTAAAAATTGTTGTAAAAATCTATGACATACGTAAAATATATTATTTTTAATTTCCTATCTAAAGAAGTGCTAAAATTATTTATAAATTCACACTAATATATAAATCAATTTTACGTATTCAAGAAGATGCTACCCATCCATGCACGGATTGTTGTCTCAATCTTACAAATATACAACATAATATGAGTTTATACTCCATGCCACGAGAGAAGGAACCCGTGTCCCGACCAAAACGCAATCGAATTYGCACATGTATGCACGCCACAGCGCCAACTGTAGAGGACAAAGTGGGAGAAACGGAGCCCAATACCGCTAGCTGTCGTCAGTCTGCATGCGCGAAACAGGTTCCTTCTCTCGTGGCGTGGAGTATAGTAAAACCTAATTTTAGTTAAGTTTTATTTCTCAATTATTATTATGTTTTAAAATGTGTGTAACTACTTAAAAATAAATCTATTAATACTTTTGATATTAATTTCTCAGCATAACTTACTTAACATTTATATGTATATTTAAAAAAAAATGCATAGATGAATGTGGTGCATTAGAKAGTGTCAAAGCTGCAAGTGAACTGTACAGTCCTGCATCCGGCAAAGTGATTGAAATAAATTCTCAGGTGGAAACAAGACCAGCATTAATAAATCAATCTTGTTATGAAAACGGTATAATTTATTTAACTTTTATTCTATTTTATAATTTTGTGAATTTAATAATTTATTTTGTAGGATGGCTTTTCAAATTAGAACTATCATCTATGGAAGAAATATCAAAATTAATGAATGAAGAACAATATGCTGAATTCATTAAACAGGATCACAGTTAATGCTTAAGTAAGTAACTGATGATCTGTTAGACAAAATTAACTAAGAAAATTATTAATTGTTTTAAATTGATTAATTTTTTATATCTACAAGTACCCTAAGTATATGTGACTTTTTTTTTGTAAGTTGTTTGCATTTATTTAAAATATGAACCTATGTTAAACTTTTATTCAATAAAAAAATGTATGAATCAAACATTTGCATAAATATTGTTAACAACTAGATTGTTATGACTTTATGAGTTATAATATATATAATTTGTTTATAGGTTTCTACTAAAGTATTATTTTAGATAATTATTTGAAATAGAAAATTTGAATATCATTAATTTTTTCTAAAAAATCTGTTATTTTAATGAATAAAATATTTACTGAAAAGTATAAATAGTAAAATATACATATTAAAAATAAAACATTTTTTGAGGCTATGTTATTTCTTAAAGCATATTTGTTTAAAGCATTGAATAATTTACCATTGCAATATGTTACCAAGGAGTTACAAATCTTCTATCTAGGTGCTCAAGTATTCATGCCCCCCTGCACCTGTGATTGGTGCTGCTCTCATATACGTATTACCAACATGTTTCTGCTTACCTATGCAGTCTACCTTGAAAGACGTAGATCGTAGATCGCATAGTACTTATATTGTAATATGCCATATTTATATTTTCAAATTATAATATATGTTTATTAGCTAAAATTTAAAAAAATGAATGTAATAATATATCCACTCGTCAGAGTGAATAACAATGTCAGCTTCACATTCTTGTTGTATTGTTGGAAGTAATGTATTTTTGTCTCTTAGAAGTACATACAAATATTGGCAGTCAGAACCATTTTTTAGACCAAATACCCAACGTCCATAGCAGTATCTAATAAACTGTGTTCTCTTAAAAATGAAGTGGAATCTCTTCACTCTTTTCGACAGTTAAATAAAAATCTTTTAATTGCATAATGCCCACAATATACAAAACAAACACAAATATAAACAGTACAACAAAATCTACGTTCAATATGTAACTAACAAACTTATTAAGTTCATTATAATAAATACAAAATAAGGCATATATCAGAAATTTTATCTGACCAATTTTATTTTATCTTTTAGTGGATGTACGTATTTATTAAATAACTATTTTTTTCTGCTATGATATATCTACATTTATGATAGTAGACCGCATATATGCATTTGTAGTCCGCATATGAGAGCAGAACCTTATGATATATTCTATATAAACCATAAGTTTTATATTTTAATAAATTATAAAAATATTTTACAATACATAGATATTATATTTTAATATAATACATATAACTTAATAGCATTGAAATATAAGTGCATAAGTAATGCCAAATAATATTGTCATACTAATATAGGTACTAGGTAATTATGTATTAGTATTTCGTTCTTGTAGCTTAAGCATAAATGTTTAATACGATAACAAAAATAATCATAATGGGTACTGMTTTTTGGTTATACCTACAGAAAAAAATGTGTCATTAAAAATTTAATATTATAATCSATAATATTAATTTAAGATTTATATTGTACAAATTAATATTATTTTCTTTATTTGACTTGAATATGTTATGATTAAAAATTTCTATACATTTCAATCTTTCATAATGTTCTAATTTCTTATAATATATACTTATATACCTATCTTTGAATATTTATAGGTAAATCCATACTTCTGAATWAATGTATACCTATAACATATAAGTTATGAAAATTAACTAAAATTTTATTTTTATTTTGTCCAGTCTAATAAATTCTTCAAAAGTCAAAAGTCTTCAAAATTTACTCTGTTATTTATTTTACATTCACTATTCATTGATCTACTATGAAATTTAAAGATAAGAATATTTTATAGATCCAGAGCCCCGCGTATGATTTTAATAATATTTTAGATTTTATTAAAAACAATAAAAAGACTTATGAGCATTTTTAAATATTAAGTTATAGGTAAGTATTTTTTAATTATTGTAAATTTATTATGTTAAGTGTGAGTAAAATA